TAAGCGGCAGCTAGTTCGCAATCGCGCGTACGATCGTATCTGTTTGACCCCAGGCTGTGTAATCTGCCCACCTAGTAGAGAGGGTGATTATATGGTAACCGGTGTTATTTATCTTATCACATGCTTATCATGTGGAGATACCTACATCGGCGAGACTGAGCGCCCTCTCTGCGCTCGCGTTAAGGAACATCTAGATGGGTTGAACAAGTCAAAATCTGCTACGCCGCTGGTTCACATCGTCTAATTCAACACAACAACGCTGATATACAAATTGGAGTGAAAATATTGTCGTACGAGCCCGAAATTCTAGCGCGCAAAACATTGGAAGCGTTTTGGATCAACGCCAAAAGTCCAAAAATGAACAGGAAGGAGGAGCGCATCGCTATCATCAGAGAGCTGGCCCCTTATCAGTCCCTTTGTGGATATGAATATGAGGTCATCACCTCAGCACATATAAAAGAGATTTGAGGCGCAGTTTTGCTAATAGGTGGTCTGTTTCTTCATACCTTTGCTGTCATCTAGGATGAGTATTGCTATCGTACTCTGGTGGTGTTTTAAGTTTGTTCTAATTGAATATTATCCTGATCCTTTTGTTGGCGTCTGAGAGAACAGGTCGCTTATGTATTCGACTTTCCAGGCTCTGACGAAGGCGAAACCCCCAAAACGTTAGCCAATTAAAGATAGTTAAAATCTTGGTCCATTGCTAAAAACAGCTACACTTCAAGCTTCACTAAATGCTTGATCTTCGCAAGGTATCATAAGTAGTGATAAGGTTCCGGCGTATGAATTAAATGGAACTGGCTCGTCTGTATTGAGCACCATTTTTGCGCTTTTGCTATCTTATTCTAGATAATAAGCTGCTAAATAACTTGTGGTTTTCTAAAGACCGTCACACTCGAAAAAATCAAGTCAAAAATCTAAAGTTTTGGCAAGGGTATGTATGGAGCTGAAAGACGAAACTTTGCTTACCAAGATGTTAGGCATGATTTTTTCAGGCAATGTGTTTCAGTCAATCTAGGCCAATGCCAAGGATTGCGTGAGATTTACAACAAGAATTTATGCGTAATTCATGCACGCATACGCCTACAAGCATTATGCTATAGCGCGAAGTCAATTTGACAGATAAAAACGGCTAGCTTCCAAAATTCTACACAACAGCGTTACGTTATATATGCTTCTACGTATATTCAACCCTTTTGTTGCGCCAACCTTAAATAAGCAGTTTGTTAAATCTTTAACAATTAGAGACTAAGAAAAAAATTGCTAGAAAATATTTTTCGAGACCCTTGGTTACCGCCCTGTACATATGAGTACGGAGAATACGCGAAAGTTAATCTGCGCATTCACACGTATACCCGCGATCATACGCATAAAAACGATATTCTATTCTTTTTCATTACAATAAGTAAGTACGAGAGCCTTATTAGCAGCGCTGCCTTGAAGATCCATCAACGAGCTCAAAAATAGCTTGAAACTGCTGCGAGGATGCCTAGTGAGATCGCTGAGTTTATGAATGGTAATCGTTGCATGCTGTAGAACTTCGTTTGATAGTAGTGCAAGAGTTATGGCGATGCGGCGCTTCCGCCCCGATACCGCGTTTATTTCGCAAATTTTGATGCCAGTATTGTTCTATAGTATACTCTCTGAATCTCGAAATCATATGGAATAGAATGCTGTAATCTGATTTTCGTC